GTCCTTCTTAAAGCTAGTTGATAACCATGCCACAGTGTATATTGGCTATTCACACAGCTACTGTGGAACAGCACTTGTTTGGAAAAAACGATGGTGTGGGGATTAACTGTGGTTATTGGGATGGAAGGAGCTCGGGTCAGGATGCTAGAGCAGTCCCTTTGTGAGGTCAAAGAGCAAGCAGCCATCACTAGTTAAGCAACTTCTTTTCTGCTTCAGTGTGCAGACTGAGTTGTCTGGTTATAATTCATGATGTATCTTCTTCCTAGAAAAGTTGAATCTGATCAAAATGCTTTGCATTTGCTTATTACAATGACTGCTAACACTTGTCTGTGGTGGCATATTGCATGTAACAGGATTGCTCAAAGAGAAGGGAGTGCATATAAACAACGTGAAAATCACAACTGATACTAGGCTAGGATATTAAAGAGATTCAAAAGCTACTTTATTCTGTTTCTGATAAAGACAGAAGCAGATCTAAAATGCTTGACCCGGGGTCACTTCAACTGTCAGGCCTTAGGCTGTGCAGGAGATGTGTGCTAGCTTTTTTTAGCATCTGTAATGGCTTGTGAAGAAAGCTTTTCAGAATAACAGAGGCATAGAAAATAGATGGCTAATGGTCTTCCGTTTTTCTGTGAGAAACAAGAGCCTTTCTTACAATTACTGCTCTGTCAAGCCTAGTTCAGGTTGACCAGCACTTTGGCAGCCATTCAGAAGCTGCTCTGCTGCGCTGGATCCAGCGTACAGTGGAGAACAGAGTCATGTTTCTTCATCTCTTGGACTCTCTGTAATTGTGTGCCCTGGGGTGGCTGGAAGAGTGAAAGTGTGTCTGATGGCTTATTTAGCTTTTTGAGCTGCTATGAGCAATGCTGGTGAAGGTAACTTGTTTAAGGTGTAAGCCGTATCCTGCAATAGGAGGGGGTGGCTCGCATAGCTCTGCCAGCAAATATCTTCCAGGGTCAACCTGGCTTTATGCTTTTCCACATCCTGGCATTGAAATACCATTGCACCCAACCTTCAATACATGACAATACCTGAAATGTCCATGCACTGTCTGAAGTGATTTGCGGTGTGGCACATCTGAGTAGACAGTATACAAACCGTATCATTTTGCTATGTAAAGTACTCTAATTTTGTTTGACTGCTCCAAGTTATTTCCTCTTATCTTAACAAGATTGCATCTTCAACCTCAGCAATACATCATTCTAAAGTAATTGTTTGACCTCATCTTTCTTTTTTGAGGGCTAATTCGATGGCATGATTGTAATTCATAAGTTAAGTAGGCTCTTGTTTTCAAAAATATGAAAACTCCTGTAATGTATCTACATTTGATGTGAAGTTGAGCTTTGATCATGTTTAATTGGAAGGGCCAGTTGGTAACTCTTCTGTTGATGTGGAACATCTTCAGGAGAGGAGAATTATGAGTGTAAAAGTGTGCTGGGATCCGCAGGCAGTGATTTGGTTCTTGTGCTTCTCAGTTTTGGTCTTGCTCATTAAAACTTTGTAAATAAATAGCATTAACATAAGTGACTTCTGCTTTTAAAAGCTATGAGGTGAAAAATCACACTTCACAAACTGTTTTGTAGCTGCTTCTAGATGACTTGACTGAATGTTATCCCATGGGAATTAGGCATTTAGAGTGCAGTAGGTGAAGTTGGAGTAGAAGCTGCAGCATGTTGTGCCATATTTCTTACAGGACAAAAAATAATCTGAAGTTACAGGGGTGTAACAGTGTCTTGCATGATGCAGTCTCTTAAGCATATTTCTTAAACTCCTTTGAGTCTGAATTTGCGGGTTTATATCAATTCATGTCAATGGTACGGTGCTACCTAGTGACATAAACCTCCATTATCTGCTTTTCATTATTGGTCATAGCTTTATCTTTCTGTTGTGTTCACATGCCAACACAAACAGTGGTCTTCAAGCATATGGTTAATTACCTGTAGGGCAAGGAGGGTTGTTGGTATTCTATGTATTGGTTTTCTGGAGTGTTATGGTTTGAGGTATTGTCAGGAAAGAAGTCTCATAGTCTTGTGTAAGAAAGCTGAGCCTTTCTGTGGCCCTGTTGGGTAAGGCATACCAGTGGCATAGGGAGGGTTGTATAGTTGCTGTACTACCGCTGTGCACATCCTTTGGATTTCTCAGTGTGTTCTCTAGAGCTCTTTGATGTTCTTCAGCTTCCTGACAGCTGTATTAGATGTCTGGGTAATACCTACTTAAACGGTGCATTCACAAATGCTTGAATAAATTTGGCGCTTCTATTTGTCTGGACTCACTAATGCTCTTTTTTGGCATGTTTGACTCTGTAGATGGCTTCAGGTCCTCTGGTTCAGTTTAATGGCAACAATTCCAAATCTTTGGGATAATTATACGGTGTGGTTCATGCAGAAGAATTCAGCTGAAAAATTGCTAGTATACAGCTTTGCTCTCTTGACTGGCTCTAAATACTTTGCTGAGAGCTTGCTTCTAATCTGCATTATCTACAAGTCACTGATTGCCTGTCTCATATTTTTCTCATCTATCTGTTTTCCTCTCCTATTTAGCTTGTTTGTTCTTCTTCCCTTGAGTCACCACTCTTCGTAAATGCGGATTTTGGCTTCTCCTCGATAGTTGGAGCTTGAGGTCTGACTTCTCTCTTCTGGGAAAATGCAGGCATGCTGTGTATAGCATGGGAGACGATGGGTTTTTTCCCATTTAGCCCTCTTCAGAAGTGAGTTCAAATACTGATGATGTTAGCTGGCTTAGGTAGCAGTCTAGTACAGCAAATAGCTATGTTTTTTGGCAGACAACTGTAGGTATACAGGTTATGCAAGGTAAACTATGCCATGGGGACCCCCTTTGAGGAGCGCTCTTCGCTCAGAAGCCTGGCAAAATTTCAGCGTAAGTACCCTTATCAAATGACTTGCTTTTAAGCGCACTGCCCTGGCATATTAAATATGCTTTCAAAGTGCGTACTGTATATTGAGGCTAAAGGAGATGCTTGCTACCTAATAAGCAAATTCTGAGTTAAATGAGAAGTGTGAAGAATTGAGGAGAAGCCAGAGGGCTCTTTGGGTGGCCTGAGAGCAGGAGACCTGAGACCCAGGGAGAGAACTTACCAGAATGTGCATCTCTTAAGGATCACAGACTTGTTGGGGTGGGAAAGGGCCTCTGGGGATTGTCAAGTTCAGCCCTCCCCATTCAGAGCAGGCTTTTTGGGACTGTGTCCATTTGGGTTTTGAGTATCTCCAAGGATGGAGACTTCAAAACCTCTCTGGACAACCTGCTTGATCATTCTCACAGTAAAAAAACAAGCCACCTCTTACGTTTTAAGTGGAATTTCCTATATTTCAGTTTGTGTCTGCTGCCTCTTGTCCTTCCACTGGATACTACTGAGTAGATTCTGGTTCAGTCTTTCCATTCCCCCCCCACCCTTCTCCACCTCACCAGATATTTTTGGAAATAGATATTTTTGTGGGTGAAGGCTTCTGGTTTTTGAAGGTGGGAGAGAGATTTCCTGTAAGGTTGTGTGACACTGGGAGAAGAACAAATACGTGAGGTTCTGGAATAATGAAGTGATTAAATATTTACCTTCCTACTTCTTTGATTACAGCTTCAAAACTAATGGCATGTGTGTAAAGGTTCCTTGTGATATTTTAAGTCCGGTAATGTGCTGAACTTACTCTACCAAGAATATAGCTTCTTGCTGTGCCCTGCAGACACTTTCCCTCTGGGGTTGTCTCTAATTCTCAATTTTCACAAGTATTTGCTCTGCGTTTCTCAAGAAGCCATAGTAGACTTATTTCCCCCCTCTCTTGTTCTGAGATTTGCTTCTTTTCCTGTTAATAACTCTGTTTACAAGCATCAGTCAAGCAATTTTGCAATATGTAAATGTCAGCCCTAAAATTTGAGTGTGAATTGGACTGTTCAGTTTGGGGCTGTAAACAACTTGCTCTAAAGTGACCTTTACTGTAAAAGAAGAGCTGGAAACTAGTGGCAGCTCTGCCTGTGGTTCCTGACTACATGGAGAGCAGTTAGTAGTACAGTCACGTGAAATGTCTATTGTTTACATCCGATAATGGCTTCCTCATTTCACCCCTTCCAAAACGAGATGAAGCCTGTTTATTTGTTTTCCTGTTCAAGAAAAAGGTCTCCTCTTAATGAGCAGTGTAATTACATGTAGCAATGCCTGTTTCTTTGATTTGTTTTGACAGTTTAAATGTGCTGAGGTAAGTCCTAGCTGACTAATTCATAAATCATTTTAAATCAGTGCAAGTCTCTTCTTACCAGTAAATGCATGGTGGGATCTAACCAGGACTGTTTCAGAAGGTGTTGGTGTGGAGCCACTGGAATTCTGATTATGTTCAGGCTTATGTTGCCTGTATCTTATGGCCAGAGCTCTCTAAGCGTTGGTGCTGATGGAGTCACCTCTAAGACTTTTCATTGTGAGGGGTTATTCCAGCTGCCTTGGCAAAGTGCAGCAATCAAATTGCCTCAAGGAAAACTTTTCCCTTAATTCTAATTTTTACTCTGTGGTTTTCCTTGCTTTAAACCTAGCTTGTTCTGCTTTCATCGATGTGAAGAGCATGAAAGGAGAGCAATCTATAAAGTTAACATCGCATCTTTGAAAAATCCTTCCTATCCCGCTACAATAGACTTGGCAGACGCGTTTGAAGTCAAGTTAAGGTTTTTAAATATTTCAGAGATATAGATCCATGTGGTATGATGTTCAACTAATTAGCATAAATATTTATGTGATCACTTAGTAGCTGAGATTCACTCTAGATGGTATGATGAAAAACACTTCATAATTGAGTTTCAGCAGCTGAAGTTAAATGTATTTCTTCTAGACGGATCTTTATTTTATTTGAATAGAACTGACTTAATTTGTCTAACCTTTTGTGACTTATCGTTCTTATTCCTTTTTTACAGAGGAATCATGATAGCGGTTGTACAAAATGCTCTTTGCTGTCCTGTGCTTAATCAATTAATCACAACAGTGACATTTTCCTTTTCTTCTACAGAAAAAGATGGTAAAGCCTTTCATCCAACGTATGAAGAAAAACTCAAACTTGTGGCACTGCACAAGCAGGTTCTGCTGGGACCTTACAACCCTGACACTTGCCCTGAAGTTGGATTCTTTGATGTGCTGGGGAATGATAGAAGGTAAAAGTTTTAACTCTGCTTTTTCTGTCTGAAGAAAACATCAATTTCTGCAATAAGAAGAAAAGTATGTGGGTTGCATCAATGTGTGTGTGCGTGGCCTCTTCAAACACATCTTAGAAATCTGAGTCACAGTTCAGTAAAGGAGCTAACAGAAGATTATTGGGTTTTTTTAAACGACACTAGGAAAAGCTGCTGTGCCTAGAGTCCAGTTTCTCATAGCAGTTTAGGACTTGGTTAGCCCTGCATTAACGTGCAGGCCCACCTTTCATCCTAACCCCATACTAGGGTTACAACAGGCCAAGCCTTTTGCCAATAGTAACAGCATTCACTGTAGCTTTTGCTAATGCCAAGGATCACTTCTGAAATCAGATACCTAATGCATTCAAACTCTGGGGAAGTTTTGATGAGATCTGGGCAGTCTCGGGCATGTCTCTTGTATTGCTTGCCATTCAGGTGGCAGTTCATTGTTGCTATTTCTAGTTGTGAAGGCAACACGCAACACAGCACTGGCTTCTTGGAGCTGGGCCCAGTGCGCTGCTTTTGCCCAAATGGACGTAGCTTTCCTTTAAGAAGAACCAGACCGTTGCATTCAACTAGCCAAAGCACTATAGTTGATGGTTGTTACCATGTTTGTTCATCTAGGAGAAGATACGCATTTTTATCCACAGACTAGAATGGAAGAAAGGTAAAAATATTTCAGGTTCGTTTGTAGCTGGGAAGTTTCTGGACGTAGTTCAGAATTCGAAGTAGGGATGTATGACACTTCATATAAGCACTCAGTTATGTCTGTTTGAACGGGTTGTTCTGGTGTGGGCAGAAGAGAGCACTGAAACCCACAGGTTTAAGATCTGTCTTTGGGAAAAAGTTGTTGGTTCTCTGAAACTGCATATGATCAAGTTTGCTCTCTGGTCTCCCAACTTTTTTTCTTCGCTGGGTTCTCAGAGTTCACTACTACCTTGAAAAGAGTTGAGTTTTCTGTTATTTCAGCTGCTTTCTCTCTCTCAGGAAGGAATGGGCTGCCCTTGGAAACATGTCAAAGCAAAAAGCTATGACAGAATTTGTTAAGCTCCTGAATAGGTGCTGCCACTTGTTTTCCACATATGTCACTTCCCACAAGATAGAGAAAGAAGAACAAGAAAAGAAAAGGTAATGTTTGAGTCCTTTGCTGTTGGAGTGTATTGAGTGTGTAACTCTTGACCTATGGATAGTGTCACAGCTAGCTTAGGATGAAGTCATCTTGGGAGGAGAAATGCTTGAAAGCTTGGGTGGCTGTGGTACCATTTGATCTCTTTAAGCCTTTTTTACTTTGCCAGTAATGAGAAAGATTGTTTCTGAGGTGGACACCTAGAATATAAGGAGTTTTTTAAATTTTGCTGATACTGTCATCTGTTTAAGAAATACATACTTCACAAAATGTCTGCCCTGATATGTCTGTGGACTAAACATATGCAGAACATGAAATTGGTAGGTGCTTTAAACTCTCCTCTTCCAGTAAGAGTTAGCAACTTGACAAAGGCTATCTTCTACTATTGTTTACATATCATATGATTATTAAACTGTAGTATCCATGTAATTATTGAACATATGTTAAAGCTTGGAAAATGCGTTTAAGGTTTCCAAACAATTTTTTCTGCTGTTGTCTGCTAAGGATAGTATAGTAATAGGTTAGCATGAATATCGGATCCTAGTACAGAATTTACACTTGTCATACTGCACAGTGCAGTAAAACTAAACAGTAATACGTTTTCTTTTTGCTTCTAATAAGACACCTCTCCAGTCATATTGAGTTGGGAGGAGATGATACAAAAAAAAAGCCTTCTTGGGCAGGCAAAAGGCAGGTTACAGCATGTTGGAAATAACTCATCCTAGGGTTTGTAGGAATGCTGAAATAGCTTATTGAGTGGATGTTGCAGAAGAGAAGAGGAAGAACGAAGGCGACGTGAAGAGGAGGAGCGTGAACGTTTACAAAAAGAAGAAGAAAAACGTAGGCGAGAAGAGGAGGAAAGACTGAGAAGAGAAGAAGAAGAGAGGAGGAGAATAGAGGAGGAACGTCTTCGGATGGAACAACAGAAGTGAGTAGCTGAAACAAATAACACTTCAAAGAAAATAACTGCCTCGCACTTGAGACAATTCTATCTAACTTTTTTAAATAGTCATGCTAGAATTGAATACCTGAAGTTCAGAGCACTCAAGTCTGGCAGTGACACTTGAATCCTCAGTTAAGAGGGACACAATTTGCAGAAAATAATTATCCTAACTTGTTATTGTATGCAGCCTTTTCAGGTGAAAGCGCCAGAGAAGCTTTGTTCAAAGAGAATCTCTGGGGTTTCTTGGGTTCAAGGGCTGCACATCATAAAAACTTGTGGCTTTGCTTCTTAAATGATTAGTGCTGCACTCAACTGAGCAGAGTTAAGTGTCCAGCTGGAAGTGTTGTTTGAACTGTGACTTGGAAGTTTCTATCCTTTCGCAGAAGGTGGAGCCTCGAAAAAGGATAACTGCAGTTCAGTGGGGTGTTTTGAATGCATGGCTGAAACTTTCTAACTTGGTAGTCTAACACTGCCTCCTTAAAGGTGCTCTCTTTCTAGGAAGTGTAGAGTGCCTGCAGATCTCATTTGTACACTGCCAGTCACTGGATTTTTAGAACCTTTCTAAAAGGAGTATAAAATTCATGTTCAAATGCACTTACTCTCAGTGGCCTGAATTCAATTGTTTACTTAAAATATACAGCTGTAGTTATATTTTGTTGTTCCCATCACATCCAGGTGCTGCAAACATGGGTCTAGCTTTGCACACATAATACTTAAGAGAATAGTAAATCATCAAAGCTGTTCCACATCAGTCAGCAACCATTTTTCATAATAAAGATGTTTTTGCACGGAGTGTCTCTGAAGTAGATCCTGCACTTACTATGTAGTGGTTTTGAGGAGGGAGCAAATAATTCACAAGCTTTATTGTTTAACACTGAGAGAGGCAGAAGAGTGTAAAATACAGACATAAATGAACAGAGAATACAACAGAAAAATGTCGCGCAGTGCTAAGTAACAAGGCACGCGGGTATGCCTTGAAGTTAAGTGATAACTTTTTTACATGAATAGCAGTTGTGTATTAAGTGGTTGTAACAGGTTACAGAGATAAAGAATTTAGAAAAGGAATGTGGATACATATATATGCAGGCCAAGTATATCTGAAGTCACAGCTTTGCTGAAATAGTAAATCTTGCCCTTTAGGATACAAACTAGTCTAATACTGGAGCTTTTAGAGGATGATTTTGGGGGAAGGAAGAAGAGCAGGAAGCAAAGAATTGCTCCTGCATTTGTGTGATACTTCTTTGTTCTGCAGAACAATCGCTAGCTGGTCACTGATGGATGTAATGTGAGACAAAACAAACTCTGGATCTAGTTATATATGTATATATTTTTTTTTTTTTTTTTACTATATAGTTTCTGTTGGCCCTCTGGAAAGAGGAGGAAAACTGAGCTTGTGCATAAGTAACCCATGGGTTCCTCCAAAGTTTCAGCAATTGAGTTTATTGGAGGCGCAGATGCCCTATTTGGTAGCGTTTTCTTTACTCCTGAATTAGGCCACAGTCATGCTTTTCATATGTTTGTATACTGTCCTGGGAAATTAAGATAGTAATGCAGTGTGTTGTTCTTAGATTTACCAGAAAGCATTGCCGTGCTGTACCAGTCTATTGTTATCAGTGTTTGTAGAAGGGCTGCTAGAAGGATGGTTTCTGCATGTTTTCTGGAGGAACCAAATGTGGGGTTTTTTCCCCTTGCTTGTCTGAGAAATTCAGTCACGTTTTTTCCTAGCACTATCTCTTTATCAGGCTACAGATTGAGAATTATGTAAGAGCTCTGGTGTTTTTTAACACTTGATGTTTTCAAACATTGGGTAGAAATTATTGCTCCCTTCTCTACATTCTCAGCATATTTTTAGGCAAAATTCACATTTACATTACCTCTGGGTTCTGCTCTATTATGCAGATTTGTTTTAATTGGTTTTCCCAGGAATTGAATTAACTGTCTTTGAGGCCACTTAAGTACAGGGATTTCCCCAACATCCTCAGCTCCTTGTAATCCTCATACTCTCCTCCCACCAATCTAGGCAACAGATAATGGCAGCCCTGAACTCCCAGACTGCCATTCAGTTCCAGCAGTACGCAGCCCAGCAGTATCCGGGCAACTATGAACAGCAGCAGATCCTAATTCGGCAGCTCCAGGAACAGCATTATCAACAATACATGCAGCAGTTGTATCAAGTCCAGCTTGCACAGCAACAGGTATGACTGAGAAACTTAGATTTTGAGTCCCGGGCTGTGTCTGGGAGATGTTAACTTGTCTGCCCTTATCACCTTGGAAAGCTAATTGCGACAAGGAGAGATAGTGTCCTGGTGACTAATGCTGCTTCAGATTCAAACACCAAAGCCCCTTTATTTAATCATTTTGAGTTATTTTCTGAAGCAGCTGTTAAGAAAATTCTTAGCAGCCTTCACTAATTACCTGCTTCGATATCATACTTGGAATCCAAATGTGAAGCACATCAATTCTGTGTGTAATTTAACAGGGCTACATGCCAGTGCATCTGAGCGCAAACAAAACCTATTGAAGTGATTCTCCATGTGGGTATTGCACCTGAGGATCTGTGCAGAGCAGCAAGCTTTGGTCAGCCATGTGTTTCCAGCTGAACATGCGTGCAGCACTGTCACATCCCTACTGGGTTTGAGATTGCTCCTCCCTGTCAACTTGAGCACTACTGACTTCTCTCTCCTTTTGCATCTATTGTGTGACATCGGTATCTAATGAAGGTGCTTGCCTGCAATAGACTGCTCGTGGTTTGAGTGGACGGACAGACTTTCATGTTTCTGGTTGCAATGGGTAGCAGTAGTACATTACTTCTTTGCAAGGGCTTTGTGTCTGGGCTTGAAAGGAGGGTACTTTGTTTAGGGGAATCTTTCGTCTCTGGCAGATGTGCTGTATTAACATCTCAAGCTATTTTAACGCTCAAGGATGTCCATCTGTAACTGTCTTAAAACGATGTAAGCCAGGCTTCAGACTGTAGTACGCCTGACCCCTCCGGGGAGGACCTGAGTCGTAAATGGCCTCTAACTGCCAGCCAGAGGTCTCTTGTTCTTGAGCTAAAGACTTAACAGGAAATTAGTTACTGAATTTTAAGTCACTTGTATTTTGACAAGGCTGATGCCCTCAGCAAAGAGCTGTCCAAGGAACGAAGCTGTGTGAACCCATGTGGAGGAACCCACATGAACCTCATGAAGTTCAACAAGGCCAAGTGCAAGGTCCTGCACCTGGGTTGGGGCTGTCCCCAGTATCAGTACAGACTGGGGGGTGAATGGATTGAGAGCACTCTGCAGAGATGGACTTGGATAATGGTGAATGAATAACTGGATATGAGCTGGCAACAGGCTCTTGCAGCCCGGAAAGCCAGCGGTATCCTGGGCTGTGTAAAAAGTGTGGCCAGAAGGTTGAGGGAAGGAGATGATTCTGCCCCTCTACTCTGTTCTCATGAGACCCCACCTGGAGTCCTGATTCCGGCTTCAGGGTCCCCAGCACAGGAAAGACATGGACTTGTTGGAGCAGGTCTAGAGGAGGGCCACAAAGATGATCAGAGGGCTGAAGCACCTCTCCTCTATGAAGATAGGCTGAGAGAATTGGGGTTATTCAGTCCGGAGAAGAGAAGACTCTGGGGAGACCTTATTGCAGCCTTTCAATATATAAAGGGGGCTTATAAGAAAGACAGAGAAAGAGCTTTTTACCCCGCCCTGTAGTGACAGGACAAGGGGCAGTAGTTTTAATCTGAGAGAGTGTAGGTTTAGTTTGGACAAGGAAAGAAATACCTTTACACTAAGGGTGGTGAGGCACTGGAACAGGTTACCCAGAGAAGCTGTGGATGCCCCATCCCTGGAAGTGTTCAAGGCCAGGTTGAATGGGGCTTTGGGCAACCTGGTCTAGTGGAGGGTGTCCCTGCCCATGGCAGGGGGGTTGGAACTAGATGATCTTTAAAGGGTCCTTCCAAGCCAAACCATTATTTGATGGAGTTGAGGTGGTATAGGAAAGTCAGAGGCTTCCTGCCCTGTTATAGTTACTCTTCAAGCTTAATGACACCTTGGTACCAATGCTTTGGTGTCATAGTTGTAAGCAAAAGCTATAGCCTCATCAGTCTTGTCCTCGATGCCTTCTGTACTTGATACTACTCCCTTGAGACCGAGGTGTCGGAGGCGCTGTTGCCAATTTTTTTCAATGCTATCAGCACTGCTCCTTTCAATCATGGCTGGCTGCTTTCTATGTACAGAAGACTAATGCCCTCCAAGACCTGGGGCAAAACAGCCTTTCCTTTGTAGTGTTTTACAAAATAAGTCTGCCAGGCAATGATGCTTATCTTTCAAATCTCTACTTGGACAACTCTTGTAGAGGAAAGGATGAAAAAGCAGCATGTAACAGAGCTAAAATTACCTAATTCTACTTCGGACTTTCCTGAAGCCTTAGGTAACCTCTGTAATAGTTCTGAAGAATGCTTTCCTTTCAGATACCTGTAACCCAGCAGCCTTGGGATCTATTAGTGCAGTTAAAAAGTGCTGTTCTGTCATGGTTGCTTACAGATCAGCTTGTGACACAATTGATTTTGGAAAGGCTGTATGAAATAGTTTTCTAGAAAAGTTCTCACCACTTTACATTGCCTTAGCGCATAGAACTGTTGTAGTAGAAAGTGGATCTGGGCAACATCTGTACAGTTGCTCAAACTTGAAATCTAATTAATGTTTGACTATATTGTCTTCATACTCCTTCAGGATACCTGTATTCCATTCCTTTATTAAAATCATGTGCTTATTAGGTTATTCTTTAAAGAATGATACTGTTGGTTATACCTTTTCCCTGTCCCAACAAAAAGTGTATGTAATATCTCTGTGCTGATAACTAGCAACAGGGGAATAAACCTTGAAGCTAAAGGCATCCCACTTAAATCCAAAAGGATGGTTGTTACCTTGTATAATCTCATTTTAGGTATGTTTAATCCTTTGCACAGGGACAGCGTGATAAATTCTATCTGAAGAGTTTCAGTGTACATAAGTCATGCTCTAAAAGCAGGACCTCTGAGCTTTAATAACTCTTCTCCCAGACTACTCGCAGTCCTTGTGGCTCTTACGCTTCCTGCTTTCATATTAAATAACTGCCTTTGGGTGTCGTGGATTTGACAGAGAACCCTGTTGAGCAAGTTAACTCACAAATTGGCAAGTACGTAATAGACCTTAAATACTTTCAGCTCTTTTTAGACTTGGATGAGCTCAGGCCAGAACTGTTTCAGCCCACTGGTAAAAACCAGCAAACAAGTCATTACTTTCAATTTTGAAAGAAATGTTATAGGAGTTACTGAAATACAGAACTTTCGTACTTAAGTGCAAGAGTTTATTGTGTGTGCCCTAATTAACTTGAAAGTAGAATCTTTTTGTTCAGATTGTATCTGCTAGCCTAGAACAAAGTGACTTCGCTTCCCCTGATACTAAGTAGATGTAATTCTCGCTGGTTAATGCGTGCTGCGTCTGGGTTTTCCTGTCAAGCCTCCTTGTGGGGTAGAGGGGGAAAATTTTTAAAGTGTCTTTTATACGTTTATATATATATATGTACACGCTTGGGAGGTTTTGGGTTTACTTAACTTAATTCCTGTCATTTTAGGCAGCCTTACAAAAACAGCAGGAGGCAGTTATGGCAGCGACAGGGACACCTCTGACTACTGCATCAAAGGTGAATGCGCCTGCCCCCGGGGACACCCCATCTATTAATGGGCAGGCCAGTGCACATGCAGACAGCCCTGAAAAAGAGCTGGATCCTGAGGCTTTGGAAGAAGCACTGGAGAATGGACCAAAAGGTAGGACTAGCTAGATTCCTTAATTAAAAATAAATAGCAAAAGCCTTTCTTAGGATTCGGGTGTCTTAAGTATAGTTACTATGGCTCCTTGCTTGGTTTCATTGGGCTATGCAAGAGCTAGACTTGATTCCTGGGTTGAGTTTCTCTCAAGGGAGAACTATATAGCACAGGGAAAACTCAGCTTTGGGGGGAGGGAAAGTTTTTTAAGAGGAAGAAGCAAAGGCATTTCAGGCAAAGTGGATGGAATCCAGAACTTCTTTTCACTCTTGACTTGAAGAAAAGGAGCATAAAAGTTCTAGCAGAAAGCTGTTCTGTGCAGAAATAGCTTCAGTCTTATTTGAACTTGGGTCAAAACTGAATGATTTAGCCTTGCAGATTAAAATAACGCCAAATCCTTCTTACTCTCTCTGAATGCTGCCCTACCTATTGCTTAGCCCTGGCGTATGTGCAGTCCAGACTGCTGTCCCCTTACATTTCCCACCTTCCTCAGTCAGCTTGTAGGAAGCTGTGGAAGTGGAGCAGGAAAAGTAGCCTCCCAGCAGCTCACTCATCACTGCTATTTCTGGATGTTACCTCTATACTTTAATCCACAATCAGTAGTCCTCAAAAGACTTGCTTGGATCCCAGTATGGGATGTTTCTTCAGTTTTTTTTTAAAAAAAAAAAACAAAACCAAAACAAAACATTTACTTGGAAGCAACTCTGATGCTTGTGGTCCTCAAATGCCTCTAAGGCACACTTAAGTATGCAGGATAAATAACCGAAAAAAAGCTTAACTGGAGTATTTCTTCCCCTGTCTCCAGATTCTGTTCCAGTGATAGCTGCCCCATCGATGTGGACACGGCCCCAAATAAAAGACTTCAAGGAAAAAATCCGGCAGGATGCAGACTCTGTGATCACAGTGGGCCGAGGAGAAGTGGTTACAGTTAGAGTACCAACTCACGAAGAGGGGTCTTACCTCTTTTGGGAGTTTGCTACAGACAATTATGACATTGGTTTTGGGGTGTATTTTGAATGGACAGACTCCCCTAATACTGCAGTCAGTGTGCATGTCAGCGAATCCAGTGATGATGAGGATGAAGAAGAAGGTAAGCATGCTTATTTATATAAACTGCCAGTCCTGCAGAGCTTGCCATGGGGGAAAACCTAACTGATTGTCTTGTGTAATCTCCTAGTTCCCCCAACTTCCTTCTAACTGGAATCTTGTCTTCAATTTTGAATAGGATGTGCAATTCTGAAAATAACTTCAGTCGCCTCGTTTGGTCACAGATAGGTTAAAGCAGTTGAGGGTGGGGAAATCCTTCTTCTAAGTTTTACTTACTCCTTAGTGTGCTCTCTTGTCCAATCCAGCAAGCTGGATTGAAACCCGTGCTGTAGTAGAGCATAGTGGATCTGCATGCTGAAAACCTTAAGAAAGATCCTGCCCTGCTGTTCGTGAACTTTTTCTAAGGGGGGGTGGGCAGTTTCCTTGAAGCTTCAGCAAAACAGCTTAAAAGAGCAATTCCTGATAGTGGTCGGGATACAAGTCACAGCCTTTATCCTCAGTCTGGCGTACCGTCAGGAAAAAAATGTTTTGAAATGAGCACGCGACTTAGGAGGAAGTGCTCTGGCAGAGGAAGCAGTGGCTTTCTGGATATTACTACCGAGTAATTAGTAGTAGTATGTCAGATCAGTAGCAGTCCGTTAACATGGGGTAACGTCTTAGTGAAGACTAGAGCTTGGCATCTCTACAACCTGACCCAGCTGGGCTGGGGAGATGGGTGTGGTGAGTTTTAATATTGACCTGTAAAATTCATGATAAAATGAGCATGCTTACTGTTCCTTCTGCTTTTGAATGCTTTAGCCCCAGCCTTGGTATCAACCCCTTCGCCCATCTGAATTCTAAACTAACAAAGAGTGCCTTGTCCACTACAGATGAGTCTTTCTCTTGTAAAGCATCCACCCATGTTAACTGACACTTTTTTTCCTTGCAGAAAATACTAGCAGTGAAGAAAAAGCCAAAAAGAATGCCAACAAGCCTCAGCTAGATGAAATAGTGCCTGTGTACAGACGAGACTGTCATGAAGAAGTGTATGCTGGCAGCCACCAGTACCCAGGGAGAGGAGTTTATCTCCTTAAATTTGACAACTCCTACTCTCTATGGAGGTCAAAAACAGTTTACTACAGAGTTTATTATACTAGATAAAGGTGTGGCTGTGTCTGAGGCTGGGCTGTGCAGAAGATGTCATTTTATTTGGAATTTTCTTCAAGCATAATGGATCCTTTTGAGTCTGTGTTTTATCCTGTCTGTATCTATATGGTTTGTGTGAACTTTAACAAGTAGACACTGGGATCTTCCTGCTCCATGACACTAATGCATATTGCATTGGGCTTAACACAGGATCTCCCTAACCCTTTTGGCTATTGGAGTTAACCAGTGGAAGTCATTGGCTCCAGTGCTAAGGTCACATCAGTTATATTTGTTAAAGCCTGGTGAAAAAGGGGGAGGGAGTTGCTGGCTCACTGGCTGGGTGATCTGATGTTTCCAGGTCTGGATGCTTTGAATAACTTGTTAACGGTTAATTTAAAGGTCCCATCTATAACTGGTAGATTTGGATGCAGTTTGCTATGTAGCAAGTTTCTCTTAACTGTAATTGAATGTCAGATTTTTACACCATTAAAACTTGAAACTTTAAGTTGATGCAGTTTAGAAACAAGTTGTCTCGCTTCTGTCCTCATCAAAGAAGAAACATTCAGTTCCTTAAACCAGTGTAGTGGCTAAGACAAGGATGAATGGCATCCTGAAAGTACAGCAAATAACCTCTTCTGAAGATGTAAACTGAACGACAATTAAAAGTATATGTAACAAGAGCCATCTTAGTCTCTCTGCCCTGCTGCTAACCCTAGAATAAAAAAAAAAATAATAATTTCTTGAGACAATTTTGAACCAGGGCACAAACTATTTCTAAGTTTGGGTTTTTAATGGGGTAGACTTTAAAAAAAAAATTATGTACAAACTTGAAACTAGTTTTCTGCACAATGTTCTGGTTTGTTTTTGTAAAACCTGAATAAGCACGTTGTGCATCTGAAGAACAGTAAGTCACTTTGATAAAGTATAGGAGTTAGTGTTGCACTAATTATGGAAATCACTGCCAGTCCATTTTAGTCTGAACTGGTGATACTTGGGTGCAGACTTTCTGTAACTGTCCACAGAAAGCCAGAGTGCACATACAGATACTTAATAATGTAGCTTTAATCTCAATTTCATATGGTTTGGTTGGGGCATTTCATATTTTGTGTAGTGGAAAAGTGCAGGTGGCTGCTTGACTTGAGGCTGCAGTAAGAATCCGCTCTCCCTGGAGCCCTGCACCCCAGGGGTGATGTGTGGTGACGGCGACTTGGCGTAAGTGCTCTCTGCATGGGTAATGCACTTTGTTACTGAGAGAAAACGGTTACTTTGGGTCTCTCGGACCAGTTCTTGCAGTAAGACTTCCATTGATTAGCTGCAGCATGTACAGTTCCATGGCAAATGATGCTGAGTTTGCGGGATTTGTTCGAATAATCAGTTTGTACATACATGATACTTTACTTTTCTCATACCAACTGTGGAGATACTTCTCCTAGAGTGCTTAACTTGTCGTCTTGTGTTTGGTTCAGCAACACCGTACCAGCTTATAGCTAGTTAGTGCTGCTTTATCCAAAAACACTGTACAATGTTCTGCTCTTGTGTACATACAGTATATAAACCATGAATTTAGAAAGTACCTTGCTTTTAAAGAAAACTGTATTTAATGTAAAAAAAACTTTTAAAAAGGCAGGCACTAATATATTTCTTCTGGTCTTCAATTTGATTTTTTTTTGTCCATACAAAAATGTTATGACTTTTTCCTCTAAGAATATCTGTTCTTGGGAGCGGTGTTTGTTGCTTTAAATGGCAGCACTTACTGTCATGTGTTGGATGTTAGAACTTTTACGTTTTCAGACTTTTTTTATTGCCTCTGGCTGTTGATTAGTACAGTACAAGTGCGATTTCAAGATACTTTGAGATAGTATTTAATCCTAATTAAAATACATTTATCTGTAATGCTGTTGGCTTTTTATTAATTTGGAAACCTTGGCATTGCTGTGTATGGCTATTCAGCTGAGATAAGCTTGTCATCTTCCCTCTTGTTTTTCCAAATTCAGTACCATGCTAACACTGGTTTTAACAGCCAAATCACTTGGGCCAGAGGCTCTGTATGAGAAGCGTTACTAGCTCACTGGACGAGGCCATCTATCAATACTAGAAGAGCCCAGCTCGAACAGCATAATTGCTTTGGGGTTTGAAAGTGATCATCTGCAGCAGAAAGGGTTGGATGTGGGTAGCCAGAAGTCACGAGCCATTTTCTGCCCAGGAGGAAGGTGCCTGCTGTTGCCCCTGAGGCTTTGTGAGTCCAGCCCCAAGGGGCAGCAGGGGCTGGCTTGTGCTGTCCTGAAAAACCCTTGGCCCAAAGGGCGAGAGACAGGCAGGACCATGCACGGTTTAGACTGAACGAGAAGAAAAGCATCAACCTAGAGGCAAAAAGGCAAGTTAGGCTAAGGTTTCTGTTGGCCAAAACCACCCGTTGCTGCTTGCCCGCTACTGCGAGTAGCTTATCCTGGAGCAGAGACCAGATGCGGGTTTTACACTAGTTTGACCCGTGGTCCGGGTCCCATCTGCCCCCACAGACTGGCCTCTCAAGCTGGTGCTTCCTGTGCTCATCTGGGCAGCAGGAGTCTCTTCAGCGAGAACAAAACAAGTGCTGTGCTGTTAGAAGCAAGGTGCTGAGAAGTTCAATGTACCATCTAGCCTAGGCATGCTATGAACTAGTTTCGTTTGAAATGTGCAAGTGCAATGAAAACCAAAGTAATTACAGGAGCAAGTCTACCCCAACTGCACCTATTTTATCTGTCTCCTGTATGTATAAATTCCCCTTTCTCCAATTAAAAGTTAAACACTGTATTCCTCACAGCTGACTTAAGGCAGCTCTCTTCCACAAGAGACTTACCGTAAACACTTTCTGAAATGAACTGAATCACCGGCAATAAATCCAAGTGACGCAGCATAAACAGGTTGACAGTTTAGTTCCAAATACACCAGTCCTTTGGGAAAAGTTAAATAATCCGAAGGACGAACTGTTGTTGGGAATGACGTTGTTTTCAGAAGTGCCATCAACATCGATGTTGCTTGTGCAGCCTCTTTGAGGCAGTTGCGTGGGAGATACCAAGACAAGGTCTTCCTTGACTCTGCTGTCACAGGAGGGTAAGCAGTGCAATTTGAAACAACTTGCTAATTAAACCACCAGGCTGCTGTATGATATTATCCTTGCCTACCCTCTTTGCGTCCTTCCCCACCGTGTGGCTTTCAGCATTTTCTGCCTTGCGCTTTGCCTTGTAAGTCCCAGGTTAACCACTGTTGTGACTTAGAACAGCTGGATGCAACCTTTGAGGTAAGTGTAAGGGGCAGGGTCATAAAATCAGTAGTCTGCTGTCAGTGGAGGTCTAAGGGATAGCTTAGCCATTTGACCTGCTCTAGAAATTGTAAGAGGGCTGCATAGACCTGTTGAGGTACAAAGAAGCAACGCAGCAATCCTTCACCCAAGTGCTAGCTGCTTTTCTAGACTGAGTAACAGCTCAGGGCAGCACTTGGCCTTATCAGTCTCCAATAGCAATGTGAAGGCTGCCTTCTGACAGCCCGGTGGTGTCATCTTTCTAGTAGCAGTTCTTGCAATTCCCCATCCTCTTCTTTCCATCCCCTGGTATATTTGCAGTGAAAACACCGCAAGGGGAAGCCGGAAGAAGGCAGCTGTAAGCCTTCCCAGCCTGTTTGACTCCTTGGCCTCTGGGTTCAAGTCCTGTAGCTCCTGCTCTTCCTTCAGCTCCACTGCCACGATAGACTGCCACATCCACACGCTCCGGGGACTGGGCCAGCACCTTCCGTACACGTGGTGCCGCTCAAAGGCGCCAGCTCGGGCAGGAGCCCAGCTAAAGTGTGTGAGCATCCAGGGTTTGTGGGCATTGCAGTTTCCCTCTTGCAAGCTGCTACTTCCTAGCTATTTCTGCCCTCATCCCCCTGTTCCACCTCCTTCCAAAAACACAGTTCAAATTAATAAGCCTCCAGCTCCTGCTGTGAATTCATTTGCAGACTGAGTTCAGGTGCAAGAGCTTTCAGCTTCCCCTGCCAGCCTGTCTGTGCTTTCGTTCCTGCTCGCTCTATGGGGAAGCAGTGTACAAATAGGGAGGATTTGGGGGTTGGGTCTCTGCTTTGCGGAAAGTGACTTGTAGAGATGCGCAAGTCCCTGCAGTAACGTTGGTCCCACGCTCTGCAACAGCAGCTTGCTTGCGCTGGGCTCAGGTGTGCCAGCGGTGTTTGCACTGGCAGCCGGTTTGGTAGGGCAGGTTACAAATGTGAGCTACGTGATTTTAGATCTGTTGCTTAAAAAATAAAACTTCTAACCTCGCACCGCAGCTCTATCCAGCACCCTGTACTGGAAGATGAAGCAAAGCGTGAAACGCTATCCCAAATCTTTCCCGAAATACCACTCGTGAGCCCTGCCACTTGCATGTCGAAGGCCTTTCAAAGGTGTGGGCTTCAGGGGCACAGTGGCTTAAAGTAGTACATGAAAACATTTGGGTTAGTGTTGCTGCAGACATTGCAATGCAATGTAGCTATTGCACATGCAAAGTTATTGTTTGGTATCCTAAAAATGAGAAAATCGCGAGGAATGAGGAAAAAGGAGATGACGCATGTTCTCTGTATCGAGTTCTGCTCCTGACCTTCACCGTTTTCATCTTGTACCATCCTCATCATACAGAGTCACGATGGGGCTGGTGAGAAACCTGCTGCTTTTAATCAGGGGGCTCAATGCTGGCACGCTTAACTGGAGGTCAGATTCGGGGAAGTAATCCTTTATTTCAGCCTACACTTCTCCTCTTCAGTTTAGTGTTTCCCTCAGTGTCGGACTCAGGTGTTGTACCCCCCTTTTTCTTTTAAGGGAGCGGCTGGTCCGTGATGGTCGCTGTTCTCGCCTGACCTGGTGACTGGTCTCTGCCAGGGCCCAGGAGGGGGTTTGGTGTTACCCTCACATGTGTTTGAGCAAAAAATACCCTCCGGCTGTGCTCTCCTGACAGAGTAGCTGATCTGAATGAAGAAAGCCAATTCCCTTGCCCAGTGCTCCTGTTCCCCAGGGCTGTATGAGCTCGTGTGCCCCCCGGCCAGGGAATGGGGTGGCTGGCATCTTGTCTCCTCCAGTGCAGGCTCTCCCCCAGCGCTCGTGACAAACTGTGATAGAGGCCGACCCCCTGCTCACACCCCTTCCCGTGAGCCCAGCCTTGGCACCGCTGGGGCTGATGGCGATGGCCAGGCAATGGGCAGTGAGGGCCCGGTCCCTCGGCCACGCAACCCTGCCCTGCATGGCTGATGCCCCCCTCGAGACAAGGCCACTTCAGCTTTTGGGAGAGAAACCCTGTTCTTCCTCATCACCAGGTTTTTATATCAGATGAAGCAAAACGGTCTTTGTGTCTTGGCCGGCGCTCTGCGGGTGCTCAGAGCCAAAGGGCAGCTCTACGCCAGAGGAGAAAAAGAGTCTCCAGGCTACTATAGCCATAGAATCATGGAATGGTTTGGGTTGGAAGGGACCTCAAAGACCATTTAGTTCCAATCCCTGCCGTGGGCAGGGAC